AGGTCTTGGTGAACCCAGATTAGGATTACAGACATGACTCGATTCCAGCTTGGGCGCTTGGTTAGGTGCACGTCCGACTCTGATATGTATGGAATGACAGATGAGCAGTGAGACCATGGGCGGTGGTCATGGCAAAATAGGAAGTGTTGTAAGATTGCGGAGTGGTTGTAGCATTCACTAGTTGGCGGTTAGCGTGGGGGTGGTGTAAGACTATGGGGTGGTCCGTAGCATTCACCGATCCCGATACAGCAGTGAGGGTATGGCAAACTATGATCGGTCATCGATTTCCTCGGATGATTTAGACCAGGTTAGGTCAGGTCGTAAGGTTGTGGGAGGGCCACAACATACTTGGAATCAGGAAGTAGTAGGTCATTGGAGACCAGGTATGATATAAGACTACAGTTGGTCATGTAGCATTCATTTTAGCATTGTGTTTGGTGGTGAGTCGGTTGGGGATTTTGTTGCCAGATGAGATTTTCTCTCAGAAGTCGCGTAGGGCGACTGTGTGTGTGTCTTTTGACTCAGCAACTGGGCGGGAATCCTGTGTTTCAGATAGTTGACAAACAAGTTGGGACCAGGAAGGTCCCAGCTGCTTTTGGAAAGTAGCAAGGGAACAACACGTTGATTCGGACAGTATTAGTGATTTGGGATTCATGTGTTGAGTCGCTTGCTATTCAGGAAAATGCTAAGTCACTTGCAGTTTGGATTAAATAATCTCAGAGTAATTTATTTGACCCTATTGTGCGGCTCTCATTTGAGTCTTAACTGTTGCAGGGATGAATCTTCTACTCGAAGGATTATCTGATCCTTCTGTCAAGTATAAGTGTTCTAGATCAGCTAGTTGTGGAGCTTTTGGACCTCTGTAAGTCCTCAAGCTCAGGCCTTTCCTTTCCTTGCTTGCTAGATCTAAGTTTTCGTTCATTTTATGGCTTGTATTGTTGGTTAGCATTCATGGGATCCATAAAGTTGGAAACTTTATGGATCATGGTGGTATCTTAAGTCTTATAAGTCTTAGATTTGGATTTTGGTCATGGTTTTGGACTCCAAGCTTGAGTCTTGGTCCTTTTTCCTCCATTGTGATCTAAGTTGGTGTTTGAGTCATGTATTGGACATACATGACTGAAAAGCTTCAATTTTTATGGCCCTTGGGGTCAAGGAAGACCCTCTAGACTGTCCCATGTTAAGGCTTTAGGGATTAGGAGCTTAATGCTCATTTTTGGTCAGATCTTGACTCACGACGCGAGGAATAAGACCTCTGATAAGGCTAAAATCCTTATAGATCGAATAGATTATGAACAAGTATAATATGAACACGAAGTAAAGTAAGAACACAGAATGAATCAATCAATGTGTCGAATGATTAAAATTCATGCCTCGGGAAAAAACTCTATGAAGAATTGCTACTGTAGAGGCGTGCTAGGGTTTACAAGAATATCTCTATAAAAAAACGTTAATGATCTACGGTGCATGCATGCACTATTAATACTTAAACCCTAATAAATGATACGGCTTGGACAGGCCCAATACCGAATACAAAAACTAACTAATAAGCCCAATGACGCAACACTAAATACCCAACAATCTCCCCATTTGCGTCAATTAAGGCCCGAACCCTTCAGCCTTGGATTCGCTTCTGCAAAGCATACACCTTATGTATCATACACGTTCAATTATCGTATTTTGTTAGTTTAAAAATGAATAATATTATGAAATATTATATAAATTTGAATATTGAGTTCTAACAAGATAGTTTTTACGAGAATTAAAGTAAAACTATGTTTAGAATCATTCGGAAAGTATTGGAAGTCTTATGAGATTCCAATTAAAAGTCAACTATCGAAATTAACGAAAATATAAAGTTGGAAATAAATAAAAATAATGTTATTGAAAGTTGTAGATAATTTCGTTAGAAACATTTAGGCGAAAACCTCATCGAAATCCGAGTTATAACGAAGAAGTTATGACCAATCGAAGATCCGCGATAAAACCGGCAAACACTATTTAGCGTAAAAAGTGAGTTTTCAATAAACTAATTTTTAGCTTTAGTGATCTAAATTAAAGTCATAGTATTCATTAAACAGAGAATTTTCATAAATAGAACATCCAAATCCGACTTTGTATGAGGAAGTTATGATTTTTCTAAGTTTTAGTATAGCAGTATATAGCTAAAAACTCGAAATAAAGATCGAGTGATTTTTAGCCGACACAACCTAAACAAGAATTGAAGGTCTCGTCAATAGTAGTACAACGGTAAAAAGACAGACGAAAACAGACGTCGGATGAAGAAGTTATGAATTTTTAACGGATTTTCCTGTCTTGGTCTGTTAAAAAATAATAATATTAAAAATAAAGTCAAAAATAGCCAACGGAGTCTAAACGAAAGTTGTAGAGTATAATCTCGCCTACGCGTGCATATAAAGAACGTCGAAAACGGAGCTCGTATGCAAAAGTTATGAATTTTTGAAGATTTGGGCACAAAATCCGAGAAGTTTCGCATACTTGGCTCGGAATTGGCCACATCACCCGCTCCTCGCAGGCGCCCCGTGTCCGACGCGTGTCACAGATCCTCATATCCGAAGGTGCGGCGCAACCGAAGCTTGACGCATGTCATCGCGGTGGCGAGTCCGAGATCTGACGCCTAGACCCTAGCATGTGAGCCATGTGCCCCTCCCCCTCGCCTGCGCTGTGCCGCGTGTCCCTCTTCCCTTCGGATCCGAGCCCTCGCACCTATATAAAAGGATGCGAACCCTCCCAGTTAATGTTACCAAATTTCACACTTTTCACCCCTAAACCCATTTTTAAGCTATTCCAACATCCCCCGAAGCCCCGGGAACCAACCTAACACCTGAAAAACGTCCCGAAGTACCCGAAGACCCCGAGAAATTTATCTTTTCGGTTTGAAGCTCAACCCTATCAAGGCCCGGTTTTCAATAAAGCTCCCGGTTTTTATCGAAGTGACCACGAAGTGAATGATTAAGCATCACTTGGGTATTGGTATGTAGCCTTTGACCATGAAGTGAATGAGTAAGCATAACTTTGGCACTAGCAGAATGTTGGATAGGGCTGAAAGCCTATAAATTCTAGCAAAATGTTAATTCAAAAATCTTTTATTTTCTGTGTTACTTGGGCTGAAGTCTTATTGATGTATATCAAGTTGAAATTGTTGTATCTCATTGATTGTAAATCTTTGAACCAGATCATTTGTTGATATGGAAAGCTTATCACATGATTCACATAGGCCTTTGTTGTTCTTTGTTCCTCTTTGCTTCTGTCATATTGGTATATACATGGCATAACGTTATATTGTATCTATTTTTGAACTCACTAAGGCGTCATCGCTTATCCCTCTCAGTGTTTAATTATTGCAGGTGATAAGCATCCAGTATAGTTATGTATTGTTAGAAGATGTAGAATAGATAATATTATAGCGTCTGTATTTAGTGTATAAATTCCTGGGAAGTTATGTAATATATAAAACTTTGTAAAAACCTCGTTAGTCGGTTTGTATCCAGTCTTTTGTAATAAGACCATATATGTAAAATATGTTTATGAATATGCATGTAGCATGTTTGGAATAATATTGTAAAGTTTAGAAAGGGGTTCTTTCACCTTCGGAATCATAGCATAAATTGCTTGGCGTACTTCGATGTACCAAATAACCATATCTGAGAAGCACTTGATATCATCTTTCTTGTTTCCTTTGAACTTGCTCACCTGGTCCATAATATACTCAAGGAAGTTTGTGGTATAGAGATGCTTATCAGAAAGATAGAAGCATCCTTTGCGAAAGTCTGCTCCAGTTCGTTCCCTAGCAGAGTAAACGACACACCAATCTCCACTGTAAAGTTTCCCTGGCTTCAACTTTTCAAAAAGCTTGGGAGTTTCCTTAAGAACAGCCGAAGGCTTCTTTCTCAGGACAGTAGCAACTTCAACATCCATCTCTCCAATCTCCTGAATGGACTTAATCATGTGCTTGAGATGAGACATGGCAGGTTCATATTTTTCTTTGTCCTTCAGCAATATGTTGTAAAGAGTGAACCAGTCATATGGATTAAGGCATGGAAGATCTACGAGAGTAAACTCATAGCATTGGCTGGCTGAACCTCTTGCCACTTTGAACTTGGCGTTTGGAAAGCTATCAGTCTCAATCGGCCCTATAACCTTCACACCTATAATTTTGCTCAATGATCAGGTTTCGTATTGAGGCTTCATATGCTTCAGATAAAACGAAAACAACATATGATCAACTCCGCTGTCTGTGAATGGAGCGTTGGCCACTTTAACAAAAGAACGAAATCTTAAGGCTTTTGGAGTAATTGACAGATCCAGTTGTGAGTCTCGTGTGTTCTGAAGATCAAACGAAACTACTGGCTCTAACCAATACTGGCTTGGAAGATCAACAACATCGCGTTGGATTCGCTTCAGAGTCCATTGGGGAAACAAGAGCTTTTTGCTCTGAAGAGTAGCCTGTTCTTCTTTCTCAGCCTTTTCTTTTTCTTCAGCTTCATGGATGATTCGCTGGTGCTCATCCAGTTCAGCTTCACGAACTTTTCGCCTTTTCAGTTCTTCTTCAGTAGGCTCCTCTTCGTCTTCATTGTCAATTATTGGGTCATCACGGAACAACTTTTACTTGCCTTTGGTTTCGTTCTTGACAATAGGCTTGACAGGAGCTTTAGTTCCTTATTTTCTTGATCCACCAGCCACACTTTCTCCCCTTTGTTTCGGATTAAAGGATTGATCAGAAACACCTTCAAGGCGGTAAAGCATGGCGAAGACTGGCCTTAACTTTTCTGCCAAATGCTTACGCATGGTGATGGTGATCATGGAGTCCCTGGTCTCTATGTATCCGAGAGCATGCCAGTAACATCAGTTATACAGCTGCGCATGACCGCCCTCTCCGATAACAGATCATGGAGCTGCTTCTCCGAAGCTTCAAGTTTGGTACTTAACATCTTGGCTTCTTCTGACTTGAGAGCGAGAAAGTCCTTCAGAGTACTCTCCTACACCAATTCGTCTTTGAGCTGAGAAAGCTGAGACGAGATAGTGGCTTGAAATGATTCATGGTCAGTTTTAAGACCGGTATGAATCTCTTGGAGTTTTGCCTTCTCAGTCTTGAAGAGAGAACCCAGACTCTTCAATGCTTCGTTTGCTGATGTGGTGTTGGAATTGTAAGTGGTTTGGAAGTTCTCCATGAAGGAATTAGTATCTCCAATCAGTTTATCGACTTTTTCGGTCGTGGACATGCAAACCTCAGCAGAATCGGCGACAGCTTTATTTGATGTTTCAACAGTAGCAGAGTGTTGTTTCATGATTTTCTCAAAGAGAGACTCAACAGCTGCTTTGGCGTATGCATCAGTAGAGGAAGATTTGTTAGAGAGAATCAGTTGATCAATCTTTTCATGGAGAGACTGGAGTTTCCCTTTCGTAACTTGCACCTCATCTGCACTCTCTGTCCTGATTTGGAAGGGACTGTAAGTAAAACCCCCAACATCTTCGTCTTATTCATCACAAAAAACCATATCTGGATCATCACGGTTAAGAGGGGAAATAGGAAGTGAAACATGAGTGGAGAAACCTGAGGTTTGAGCCCCCGTATCAGATACGTTGACCGAAACGAAAGGTGGGATTGAGGTAGTGACAAAACCTGAAGTCTTTGCCCCAGCATCAGATGCGTTGACATTGACGAGTAGTTCGCTTGTGGTGGTTGTGGCAGTAGTTTCAGTGTAGATGGGTGGCGGCTGGGTACTAGAGGTGGTTGTTGTAGAAATAATAGGTGGTGATGAAATAGGTGGTTGAGATGAAATGGGTGGTGGGCAAGGAGCGATGGTAATAGGAATAGTAGTGTGAGTAGGAGAAGGAGGTGGAGTCGGAACAAAATCATTTAAAGGTACCTCTTGATGTGGGGAAGGTGGAGGCGAATCACCACGAAGCGAACCATCAGATTGAGAACTTTCGCTTTCGGTTGATTCTTCTGCAGCTGGATCAGAAGGAACGTACTCAGGATCGCTTGTTGAAGATGGGCTGGGCTGCAGGGTCATCTTTCTGAGCTCTTGCTTCTTTGGAGCCGAAGGAGCTGCAGCTTGAGTCTTTCGCTTCTTAGGAGTTGGAGTTGGAGAAGATTGACCTTCTTGAACCCCTTTCTTCTTATCTCCCTTCTTGCCTCCCTTTTTGGGTTTATCAGCTTCATCTAAGGAGCGTTGCATCTCAGAAGTAAGCTCCCTAGGACCCGAAACTGGTTTCTTCTTGTACTCAGTGATAATTTTGCTAGCCCCAGAAACACATCTGTACATAGACTCCGGAATAGATCCCACAAATAAAAACTTCGAACTATCAACGATAATAATCTTCGTAGTGTGGAAGGTGGCAATCGACGACATTAATGAGTCCACCATCACCAGAATATTGAACTTTTCTATTGCCCGCTGCACCACAATCGTCCATAAACGTGCGCAAAAGATCTCGTTGTGTCGAGACGAAGAATTCATACTCTGCACCAATTAAGCCCAAAGAACGGACCCATAATCAAGGTTAATCCCATGGTAGAGACCATAGAGGATTGTCATGAAAGATTTGCTAGCACAATCGGATCCAGTTACTCTCTTAGAGAAAGCCTTGAAGAGAAGAGTAAATAGACCATTCCATTGGGGCGGAAGACATGACTTCTTGAACCTGGTGATAGTGGTGAGAAGATCAGTATGCCCCATTCGGTAGAACATGTCGAAGATCTGGGCAGTAGTAATAGACTCCGGATGCACCAATGAATCGACATTGTTTAGCCCTAGAAGAGATCAAAACCTAGACCTTGAGACCGAGTGTTTCTTATCAAGAACTTCAAAAATGATCTTTTCCTCCTTCTTGACATACTTAGCAGATGAAAACGCCTTCGACAACAGTGACATTGGAACACATTCAACCTTGGTTAAGGCAGTAACCAAAGGTGAGTACTTCAAGCACTCGACAATGGGAAGCAGGAACACGTCATATTTAAACGGAGCCAAGTCGAGGATCAAGTTCTGGTTGGGCTTGATGGTGAGGAAAAAGGACTGAGCAGTGTGGTCTTGAACATATGATGAATCCGCCATTGTTGCAGTTTGTGAGGAAGAAGATGAACCGTAAGAGAAATCGCCTTTAGGTTTCTTGAGAGTATTGAGAGTGGTAAATAGAAATAAGGGATTTGTGAGATCCTTTTATACGATGTACCAGGAGAGAGAAAGATCTTTGATGACGATTGCGTGATTTTCTCTGAAAAGATGCCTGAAAAAGCACAATGTGACAACTGTTACTCCGAAAAAGGTGTCAGGCGGCGTGATGATAGAAATCGTTTCAAATTCACGCGCCTTGTGGTTCGAAATCTTATCCATTCCTCCGCCTCTTCATATTTTTCCCTAACGCTTCATATTCCAAGTAAATAATCTGAGAACTTTTTGCCTTTTGAAATACAAGACCACCATATCATTGAGAAGCGAAACTGTGAATCTGAAAAACACCATAAGGACCATGAACTCGATTTTTGGAAAATCATTAAGATCTTCGTGCAAGACTGTGCCAAAGAAAAAGAAATAAAGCAAAGTATATATGTGGGATTTAGTGATGTCATATAGGACACGAAACTGAGGATCCCGGGCACGAATCTCTTCCTTCAAAGTCAGGAGAGACTGAGAAGTGTCTGTGAGGTTTCCCGTTGAAGTACGACCAAATGTTTGTTAAGAAACATTGAAAGGCGTCTTTTGAAATTCAGGCTTCTGAGGTGGCTTTCGCTTCAGCCAAACTACGAACTTGATATAAGACCAAAAGTTGGATGAAGTACTTGTGTGGCCAGTTTAGCCTATAACATCAAGTAGGTTTGATAATTATTCAGTGACTTGGTAAAAGTTAGAAATCTCAAAAACAAAAACGAAACTGGATCTTTTGGGAAGAAATGTCTTAGTTTTATACAATTCCATAAAGATCTCGCAAAAAATAAAATAGATTCCTTGTTGGTGAAAAACTAGAACATTCAATTGTTCACCGTCAATTCATTAAAGGTGTTGGATTGTGGGTTTCACTTAGCACGTGGTAAAACGAAACTAACATCATCAACACAGATGTTGTGTAACCGTAAATCTCAGTGGTAAATGCTGAGAGTCTCAAGGGTCACGTTTATGAAACTAAATTGATGGAGAAAAGTGTTGAAGTGGTATAAGAAACGAAAGTACCTCTGCTATACGAAAGTGACTAAGCAGATAACTCTTAACTCAATGTGAGAAGAGTAAGGTAGCTCATGACTTAAGTGAATATAGCAACCTAATTGGGAAGAAATGATTTGTATATATCGAATCGATAAGGCTTCACTTTAGAGTCGTTGAGGCTTTAGACAACATGCAGCAGCATGCTTCTAGGGACACTTAGCTAATACATAGATAAAGAATGTTATACCTGCCCTTTCACACAAAACTTTGCCTCCAGGATCATCTGAAAATATTTTTGGGTTTTTGTAATATGTGAAAATAAAAGAAATAGATAACATAGAGAAATTTTTTTGTATTTTGAGATTTTCGAAATAAAACAAAAGGAAAATATTTTTGTATTTTATTTTTCTGAAAGATAATTAAAAACAAAAAGAAAAATCTTTTTGGATTTTCTGAAAATAAATAAAAACAGAAAATATGCAAAACAAACTTTTAGAATGCACAATATACAAAAGATACAGAAGTTCCAAACCACAAGTGAGAAGTGAAATCACTTAACCAACTGTTCACTTATTAAGAATGAGTGAAGCGAATAGGAGCGAGTGTTCATTCCATTTCGTGTCCCGAAAAAGACGGAACGAAATAGAGCGAACGTTTGCCTCATTTCGCTTGATCAAAACTTATGTTGCGAAAGCGAAAGTGATACTCATGGAAGCGAAGGTGGTTTCGGAACTGATTCAGCTTCCATCATTCCTAAGCCTTGGAGTATTCTATTAAAGGTTGCTTCAGGCAAGGCTTTAGTGAATATGTCAGCTAATTGATCAGCGGATCGAACGAAATGAATCTCAACATTACCATCTTCCACATGATCTTTGATGAAGTGATACCTCAGTGCGATGTGTTTCGTTTTTGAGTGTTGCACTGGGTTGTGACATATGCGAATTGCGCTTTCAGAGTCACAGTAAAGGGGGATTCGCTTCATGTTCATGCCATAGTCTCTTAATTGACTTTGAATCCATATAACCTGTGAAGCACATGACGCTGCAGCAATGTACTCAGCTTCGGCTGTGGATAAGGATACACATGTTGTTTCTTAGACTGCCAGCTGACGAGTTTGCCATCGAGAAATTGACATCCGCCAGTAGTGCTTTTTCTATCCATTCCACATCCTCCAAGATCAGCGTCTGAGAATGCTTGAATGAAGAACCCTGATTTTGCAGGATACCATATACCAAGAGATGAGTTTCGCTTCAGGTATCTAAAGATGTTCTTGACAGCCACCATGTGAGGTTCGCGTGGATTTGCTTGAAACCTGGCACAATAACAAACGTAAAACATAATATTTGGTCTACTAGCTGTTAGATACATCAATGAGCCTATCATTTGACGATAGAGAGTCATATAAGCAACCGGTTTTTCCAGAGATAGTGTTAGCTTCGTTCCGAATGCCATTGGAACCTTCACTCTTGAGTATCCCATCATTCCAAACTTGGTCAGTAAGGTCTTTGTGTAAGCTTCCTGATTTATGAAAATGCCTTTTGGTCCCTGTCTTATATTTAGTCCAAGGAAAAAGTTAATTGGACCCATGGAACTCATCTCAAATTTAGTCTCCATCAACTTTCTGAATTCAACTGTTAAGCTAGGATTCGTAGAGCCGAATATGATGTCATCGACATAAATTTGGACGATCATTAGGTGGTCACCCTCTTTCTTGCGAAAGAAGGTTGGGTCAACCGAACCTTGTTTAAATTTGGACATTTTACGAAAGCGAGTTAGAGTTTCATACCAGGCCCTTGGCGCTTGATTTAAGCCATAAACTGCCTTGTCCAAAATATAGCAGTGATTGGGATACTTCTCGTTCACAAAACCCGGTGGTTGCTCAACATATACGGTTTCTTCTAATTCTCTGTTTAGGAATGCACACTTGACGTCCATCTGAAATAGCTCAAAGTTTTTGTGTGCTGCGTATGCTAAGAAGATTCGAACGGATTCTAACCTTGCTACTGGAGCGAAAGTCTCTTCATAGTCGATCCCTTCTTCCTGACAGTATCCTTTCACCACAAGTCTCGCCTTGTTCCTTATTACATTGCTTTCTTTATCCATCTTGTTATGAAATACCCATTTCAGACCAACTACAGATG